CACACGGGCAGAGCTTGGCCGGTGAAGGACTGCGTGAAGAGTTCCATGTGTAGATTACCGATGCTGATGCTGTGGTCTCTTGACATCGCCTGTCGCAACCGAGTGTCGTATACTTGCACCGCAGCAAAACGATATTTTTTCGCCGCTTGTACTACCCTTAGCTGGCGCTCCATGAGACCAGCACATACCCTGGTGCGCCCTCGCTAGCAATGACCCTAAAGATCGACCAGGCTTCGATCCAGTCGGTGACATTTTCAATTTTATGCCTGGGTGTCGACACGGTAGAAATTAGTACTGAAGCGTCAGCAGCGTTTTCGTCAACTCGGAAGCGTTTAGCGGATGGCTCCATTCCTACACTGCGGCTTGGCCATAGTGTTGCCAGCTCTACATACTCAATGTTCATGATCTTTCTAATGGAATCCGCAGATACATGTGCTACACACGAGGGCATTCTTTTATCGCCACTGGCTAATGTTCCATACCTTGGAGTTGGACTTCCGCCGCAGAGGTATCGGTCGCCTGACTGGGGCCCGCTAGCTGGTTCCACGCGGGCCAGACAGCGGAGGAAGCAGCCTCGCTGATGGCTCTCAGCTGTGCTGGGGACAGCTCCATAGCCGGCATGCCGACGACTGCCACAGAATATAATAATTGCTGCTACACTGTACTTTATATAATTTACTTTACGCTCTGAAACAAAACAAAAAATCACGCCCATCTGCTGCTGCTGCTAGCTGCCAATATTGATGCTGTCCCTGCATTCGCCACCTCCAACTGCTGAGGTGCCTCGTGCTGTGGCACTACCACACCTTGGTCCGCCCTGCGTTGATCCGGCCTCGTACTCTCGTACTCTGCTCATGCTGCCGTACTCTGGCGTTGTGGCCTCGTGGGTACGTCTTACGCTATTTGCGCTTGCCACGCGCTTATGTGGCCCGCCTTACCTGGCGGGCTCTCGCGCCTTATTTCCCATATAAGCATGGTGGTGTCTGTCATTGTGGGCCGGGCGGCATCCGGGGACTTCGCCTCTTCCATACGTGGTATGTTTGCTCCGCCACACCGCCTGTTCTATCTTGAGTACTCTGTTAGTACTGTACTCTGGCTGAGGCTTAGTACGCGCGCTGGAGTCCTTTCGTGCCATAAAAGGAACTGCTTCCTAATATAGAGATTAGGCGCCATGAGCCCTGCTTGTAGTAAACATTGCATTAGTAGCGCTGATACCTTTATGCAAATATGGGGTAGTCTCGCCCGCGCATATGGGCGTACTCGTACTGCGGCCTGGGCTTTCCCCAGTACGGCTGCCCGCCATTGCATGCCAGACACCCCCATTGTTGCGCGCCTAGCCACGCGCGTGGCTTTTGCCTGCTGCTCGGTTGTCAGCGATAACTACGGTTTGCCGTACGCTGCAAACCTACATAATATTCCGCCGTAGGCTGGGAAATCGTGGAGTTGCACACTCTTGGCTATCTGCTCTTGGTATCTACTCATACGCGTCGGCCACTCAATGTTTGTGATCTTCCTTGCGCACTACTAGACCCCACAGTCACTAGTACAACATGTAAGGTAGAAATCAGTGTTTTCAAGCTGGCGAACGGTCAGTTTCCTCTCGTCAAATTCGCTGAAAAGATTGGTTTTCTCCAACGCTGAAAGTCTTTCTTCTTCTATTGCACTAGCTGTTTCTAACCATGCATTGTTTGAGTGGGATTTTCGGCTGACAGGTCTTTTTGATACTGATCCCTTACGGGGTCTTGCGACTACATTTTAAATGAGAGAATATTAGTGAACCGCAAAAAGGTTGTGAGCTGCCTGGTGCTACATGTATTTTTTTGGGTCAGTATGGCTGGGCTGTGCACACTTTCCATCTTATGTATACAATACCCACTGCAACAGTGCAAGTAAAGTATACAAACTAAACCTGTAAACTGCCTTTTACCTAATGTACCTGTTCATCATAAAATGTATGTTGTCGTTGTTTTCCCATGCATATAGAATCGCTATCAGATCAGTCCAAATTTGAAACTGTCGTACATCAGAGTTGCCAAGCACCTCTGCATCGCAACCAGAGTATCCAGCATACATGAAAGCATACCTGATTCTGGCAATGACTGTGTTGGTCATAGTGATGATCCTCATGATAAATACCAGGTGTTCAAACAAAAATACTCAATGTTCGTGCAATTGTGCAGCCTGGCGTTGATGCCGACTACAGGACGGGTCAAAACCATTATGCGGTGCAGCCTTCCGCTATAGAAGTCTTTGATCAGTATGCTTAGGCAGTCATCAGAGGACATAACGCTGATCTCTAATCTAGATTACTGAGTAAATGAAGTAATTATATTTCTTTTCGAGCCAGCTCGGGTGGACGCAGCACAGGCATTTCGTCGAAATATGTATAGTATATGTATGTTTCCTGTTTCTCTCTATCATCTAACGTGGGAGAAACGTTGGGTGCCAGTTTTCCCAACAATGATAGACCATTAGAGCTATCTCACGATCCACCGAACAGCCAGCCATGGCGATAAGAGAATAACTTGAACATAATGGGAAAATGCCGTGATTAGGAGAGGTTTTGTCACCACATTGGCTCTTGTATAGTAAGTAACAGCTCCATCAAGTGGGACATTGCCGAAAAGACTCACTGGAGAGAGCCAACTGTTAGGTACAAGTAGGCCGCTGTTGGAGTAATTAGAGTAATTAGATTTTAGCTTGAGCTACATGTATCGCATCAGCGAGCTCGGGGAATAACAGTTCATGATGATAAGATACAACTTGTACTGGGATAGGAATCTAGTCATACGTGTCGTGCACTCACGTTTGTGCGCGTGACCTTCCTTGCTTAGTACGGGATCTCACTGTCTAGTGTCACTAGTACTACATGTAAGATAGAAGTTAGTGCTTTCAAGCATGCGAAGAGCCAGTTGACTCTCTGAAAATCAGCTGAAGAGATTAATTTTCTCAACAGGTGAAAACGCTGTACCTGCTCCATGCCCGATATCGTCAGCTCAGTTTTTTGCAGCTAAGACCGGCCTGGGTGTAGGATCCAGCGGATAATGCAAGATAAGGTAAAAATTATTTTTTATTTCGTGACAAACTACTATAGAATCATAATCATCACCGTCCACTGCCTATCGACACTACTGATTTGCAAACACAACGAGAGCATCGTTGTGAAAAATGTGTGACTTTTGAACTATACAATACCATACAAGCACCACCCATCAACTAATCATTATTGTTTAACCTTCTGTCTCTTCTCCGCTTATGCCGCTTCAATGTTATGTTGTATTCAGTTTCGTCTCATGGATGCAGCATCGCCATCCGATTAATCTTTACTTGACACTTTCCTATATCCCAGTAGCCAAGCAAGTCTGCATCGCCACCGCATCATCGAGCATACCTCAACCCTCATGTTGGCCGCTGCTGTGCCGTGTACCGCCCATTGAATGCTGCATGCCTTCCCTTCACCCTTTTTGGTCCAGATGTACTGCGATAGGCGGGTGTCCTTCTCGTGTTGTCTGTGGCGGAATGAGGATTGGTGGTTATAATTTTTTTCCACGGTTCGCGTGAGACTCGACTGGAAGCCGGGCTTTCCGCATCCGTAGGAACGCCACCACCCTTCAAGGATCAAGGCGCAGATACAGCTCAAGCGGTGGGAGGTGAGTAGATCAGCTCATCAGCAAGTGGTCAAAGACCGAAAATCCAATTCACTGCATCCATGTTTTCCTCGTGCCAGGCCACGAGTTCCCAATTAACTGTGGGTCGCAGCACGGCTGGAAAAAGTCCTTCCGCTTCCAAGCAGGACTTGAACCTGGTACCCTCTGTTTCTCAATCATGGTCTTAGACCATCCCACTGCCTGCCTGGTGGTGCCTGCCTGCCTGCCTGGTGGTTATAATAGTGTTGTTTAAATGTTGTCGCTGTTTATCCAGTATACTCCTTCTTCTCTATACTTTTGCGTTGTACACGATGCTCTCCGTTAGACACGCTCCGTCCAGTGGACATGAGTCTTTCGCACGACAGTAACAAGTCCTGGTGTCGTTGTCACCTCCGTCAGCTTCTTTCTTGGGTCGTAAAATCGTGTTATTATGTTGTTTGGTGATAGTGGCCATATTCTGCAAGCAACTGTAGCTAACATTTACAGAGTTCTGGTTGAAGTTTTTGTTGAGGCTTGAGCCTTTGGGGAAGTGTTTGGCCACTAGCTGGAGGAAGCGATGACTGACGTTGGTGGCGACGTTCTTGCCAAATGGTGGGTTGAACTATGATGTTCCTGGGGCGATTCCTTTTCTTCAGCCTAGAATCTCTCTGTTTTATTACTTTTGTTATTATCAATAACTGTCTGTGCATTCCCGAAAGACGTCATGTAGAAGCACAACCACTACGTGTCTAGGTATGCGCTGTAATACAATCACGTGTTCAGTAGCTGTTCTGTGCTTTGCACGCAAGACAAGTGTTATTAATTAATTATTTTATCAGCGAATAATCGTTACTGCCGAAACAGCAAACTGGAAAAAGCCAACCGTGTTAGGGACAAGTGGGATTCTGCTGGATCACTTAGACTGTAGAATGAGCTATTTGTTTTGACCCCCGAGCTCTGGGTATAAATTGTCATGCTAATATTATTTTATGATACAACTCCTACTGAGATAGGTAGCTAATAATACGCGTAGGGGACTCACGTGTGTGCCCTTCTTTGCTTACTACGGGAACTCACTCTAACTACCACTACGTGCAAGCAAACTGGCAACAGCCAACTGTTAGGGACAAGTCGTAATTTGCTGGATCACTTAGACTGTAGAATGAGCTATCTGTTTGATCTCAGAGCTCTGGGGACAAAGGTTCATTACGATGTGATACAACTCCTACTGAGATAGGTAGGGAGTCATACACGTATGGCACGCACGTTTGTGACCTTCCTTGCTTACTACGGGAACTCACTGTGACTACTACTCCGTGTAAGGTATAAGTCAGTGCTTTCAAGCATGCAAAGAGTCAGTTGAGTCTCCTCAAATTTGAAAAACTGAAGAAACTAGTTTTTTCAACTGCTGAAAGTGTTGTACCTTCTGCATGCCCGATATAGTAAGTTATTTTTTCATACTCCTAGGGGTTTTTCCTCTTCCTGTTGTTGAAAACGATTACAAATGTGCCCAAGAAGAATTGTCGCAAGAGACATCGGTCACTAATACATCGACCTCTGAGTATGGAACTGAACTGAAGATCTGCAAAGCAATGGAGCAAGAGTCAGTCGAGCCTGTACTGAACACTGTCCTTTTGGACGTGTGGGAAGCAGCAGTTTTACCTTTGTTGTCTCTTGCTGACATCTTTCAACTTTGTGGTGTTACGAGACACGTCCGCGAGCTGCTGCATAATGAAACCATATTCAGGCGTCTATGTCAGGTGAGTGTTATGTCATGTTTCTTTGCCAAAACTTGGTTCATTACATGTATAGTGCTCTAAGTAGTTCGAAAAGACACTGCTCTTGGAGACAGTCGTTCTCCTATTGCACCAGCTGTTTCATACCATGTATTGTTAGAGTGGGTCTTTTGGCTGACAGGTTTCTTTGTGATGTTTTGTAATTATTAATGTATAAGGATTCCCCAAAGGCCTTCCCCTATCGGGTGGGTTTCTCAACGTTCCATAATGCCGAATCTGTAAAAGAAGTGAGCAAAAGGTGAACAAAGAAAGAGAAAAAGATATAGTCTAGGGCAGAGCTCTGCGCTTGAGCATATGATTGTAAGCGTGCAGACCTGGGATAATAAATTTAAATAATGAAAAATCAGCCAGAGATAAGCTGCTAAAGAATTTGTTGTGCCGCTACATATTCAACGAAATTCCACTGCAGTGAAACCAATGCTAATAGAACTGTTTGTGCAGTCCTTTCTTAAATTCGCTTAAACTGGCCAAGGTCATCTCAGGGGGGAGACAATTCCAGAGGTTGCTGAGTTTATGGATAAAGAGACTTCAACAGCGCTGTCCATGGTGTGCCAATGTCAGCTTACTTTGAAACTCATCGCTTACTATAACTTGTGACTACTTTGTTTTATGGAAGATTGTTCGCATCCTCTTAGTGAACCGTGTGAAGATGTATCAGGATGTGAGCTGGCCGGTGCTACATGTATTTTCCTCGGCCAGTATATATACTTCCCATCTTATGTATGCAGTACACACTGAAAAGTTTACAAACTTAATCTGTAAACTGCGTTTTAGCCAATGTGCCTGTTCATCATAAATGTGTGTTGTCGTTGTTTTCCCATGCATGTAGAATCGCTACCAGATCAGTCCTAATTTGAAACTGTCGTACATCACAGTTGCCACGCACCTATGCATCGCCACCAGAGTATCCAGCATACATAAAAACGTATCTGATTCTGGCAATGACTGTGTTGTGGATAGTGATGATCCTCATGATCAACACCAGGTGTTCAAACAAAGAAACTCCATGTTCGTAAAATTGTGCGGCCTGGCGTTGATCCCGACTACAGGACCGGCCCAAACCATTATGCGGTGCAGCCTTCCGCTATCGAAGCCTTTGATCAGTATGCTTTGTCTGCCATCCAAAGCCACATCTTTCTACCTACCCAACCTTTCAATTTCAATGATTGAGAAACATTGTAGATTATTGCAACTACAGGTGAAGTACAGCTTAGAAGACTCGGCGAATTTGTTGTTGGAGATGTGCGGCTCCTACGAAGAGTACCAAACATGTATCCTGAAAAAAATGGAACAGGATATTCCGGAGACTGCATTATTCTTGAAATATTCGAATCGCTCTTGCAGGCAAGTTGAACTTGCAAAATGCTTTGAAATCGTTTCAAGAAGAGATCCACAATTGCTCTTATCCCTAAGATTGGATAGTCCGATACCAGCCCCTCCTCAGCACATCAATACTCGGTGGAGCTATAACTCATACGACTTTGTATTAATCGAGATAGCTGACAGTGGCCTCAGCGATGACGTTATCGCCACTCATAATTGGATCAAATTCACGGCGGAGCTAGCAGGGCGACACTCAGTACTCAAGCTCTTTATCAAAGGAAGCCTACGTTTATCACAGTTGGAGGATTACTTCGTGGCTGTCATGGCGTACGACAAGCTCTGGCAAAGCCTGCCCCAGTCTAGTCGCCCAAGTCGGATTGTTCTCTATCGTGACCTGGGAAGCTACCTACTTTCCACGCTACTAAGGTCGCAGCGTGAAAAGGAACTGAGCAAAGAGGAACTGCTGAACGCCATGGAACGGTGTGGCACGATGATTGTTGACAGTGCAACCCGCGAAGTGCGTTGCCGCGCGCGTATATCTTGCTGATATCCTGATGTAGTTGTGGTTGTTGTAAGTTTGCCATCGAGGGCAATTTGGCCTATGACGCAATACCACCACATGTACTTGTTAACCCTAGGACGGCCACCACTTTCAGTACTCCTAGAACGGCCAAACGGTGTCATTTGACACCTGCATACATTTCCATGTCTAAGACCTATGATATAGGTTATTATAGTTTTTGTTTTCAGTGCTGGCTATCAATATCGGCATTTATGATGTACACAACAATTTAGGATTCACCCAGACACTATTGTTGGCTATACGCAACTAAAATACGATGTACGCGTAACAGCAATTGCGAAGGATTAACTCAATTACTGGCTAAACTTCAATTACTTGCATGGAATTTCTTATAATCACAAAGTTACAATGCCAAGCAACGTGTCAACGTCACTGGGCACATGAGGAACTGCTTTTCGAGAATATGTGCTTTGGCATAATCGGATTACTCGACCGTCACGATGAATGACACACAGTAACAAGTACAAACAAGGACTGACTATGAGTATCATTTTTTCACCAAGCTGACACATATGCTGCTAGAGATGGGTTAGGCTAGTAACGTGTGCATTTTGGACTCTTTCAAAGAGGTATAACCTTCTCTTCTCCTTGGCTGGCACTTAGCACCCAGATGCCATAACCATCTACAAGCTTATTGACCAGTGCAGGAATGAGCGTTTTCTGGATGTGCATGAAATAGCAAAGGTCTTGGATATTGTCAAGGCGTTGATTCTTGTCACATCTATTCATTTATGTAACCACCTTGCAAGGGGACATCTTCTGGAATAGTCTTTGTTGAGTAAATCCACCACATTCCATCGAAACGGTCAAGGACATATCTCGTCTTTTACTAGAATTGGACGATGTGGGGCTTCCTACTCTCACCATGTAAAACATATGGCTCTAGGTGGTCTACACTAGGCGGACCATTTATAATTCTTGCTACTTCTACCTTCTATGTCTACCATCTTTGCGTCCTACAATGTAATCTTGAAAAACAAAATGCAATCCGCGATTATTGGCAATGAAGTTAGATGGTAGTTTACTTCAATTTCCCAAAGTGGTTCATACTGCAACTCTTTATTCTCCAACAGTTTCTTGACCAGTAATGCACTGATAATGAAGTTATCAGTTATGACTTAGCAATCACCTTCTGCAGCATCCGGGGCCAATAAAGAGAGGAGGCATCCCAGCGGCTGCCTACCCGTTTAGCCTGAAGCGGAGGAGGAGGAAGAAGTTTGGTTCAAGAGCCTTATTAGCTCGTCAAGTAGTTAGAAAGGATTATCTACACAGCACCATCCTTGCGATAATGCGGTGTACCATCTCCAGGTTGCAGAGTTGCGATTCCTCTTCCTCAACACTATCCATTTCGGGGTCTCCACCACTCCTGCAACTGTTTCTGACAAATCCTTGTCTGGACTATCCCGCAATCCTCGTCCGCTCTCTGGAGGCTCGTAAACCTCAACACATTCTGAATCCACAGGTGGTACTCAGGTGTTGTGACCTTACGATTCGCCCTCATATGACAGAACAGATCCACCACTGCCAATGGTCACTACACTTGGACACCCATCAAATGAAGATGAAATGGGCAATTTCGCTTTCAAGATCATCAGATTCATGCATGGTAAAAGGCTACGTCCGTTCTAGTATTTCCTTGGCCGTCAGACTACGATGGTTCCTCTGGGGCAATTTACAGGAAAATGAAAGGGAATGAGCAGTATCAAGGACATTAGCTGAAGAGTGTTTGTGTAATCTGTGCACTAATGTTTACCCGCACCAAATTCGCGATTCTCGCCCGACGGTTGTATGGTGATCATATATTTCTTCCTGTATTCAGCGATTTTCCTGCCCATGCACCTTTCTTTTGTCTGGTTGGCATACGAGCAACTCGATATGGCCGACACCTTCGAAATGTGTTCATATTGTTTCCATATAGCTGCAAAAATGGCTTTTTATAGTGCAGGTGTCAAATGACACTGGTTGGCCGTTCTAGGTATACGTACTCGCCATTAGGGTACCTCATCAATTACAAATCAAAGGTTTATGGCAGACGAAAGAGGAAGAAAAATTAGGAATAGCCACAAGATTTGAGCTTATTCTGATTAGCCATATTTCGGTAATTCCAAAAGTTTGACTCGCGCGGTGTCAAATGACACCGTTGGCTGTTCTAGGGTTAAGTCTGCACTGGGCTCTTCAGCCTTTTTGCCGATTGGATTTTGCTTCATCTCTCTGTTTTCCTCAGTTTTTCAATGAAAATATTACTGTACTCCAGGTGGTTTGTTTGGTTTACCTAACGTGGGACACACGTTGGGTTCCAGTTTCCAAAACAATGATGAACTGTGAGGGGTAATTCCCGATCGACTGTAAAACCAGGCATGGCGACAAGAGAATAGTGGACACATAATAGGGTATTCGCCAACGGCCTTCAATGCTAGTTCAGCACATGCATGAATGACACTGACTCACGCTGCTATCTAATGTTCACGAGGTGTTTGTGGCGCTGGAAACGCAACGTCTGTGTTGTGTTCGCGCCTGGAGAGCACTATGTAAGTTGTGGTCTTCAGGCACGGTGTTCCTCAGTCTACTCAAGCACAATTCCACGAATCACTGTGTGTTGAGCAGGCAGTGGTGCTATCTTGCAGGTTTGCCGAGTGGATGGTTCGTTGGACCTTTCGTGTGTTCTGGGTGGCTGTCGTGAGTCAGGCAAGTGACAATTGAAGTTTGGAGGAAAAGCGCGAGCTCCCATGTAGATAGCAAAACCCAATTCTCCATAATTGTTACTAAAATAAGCGCCCGAGTGGTAACTCATAGTATCGGGCATAATTGTCCCCTGGACGTATATTTTGGACTCGCATGGAGAGCCAAGGATATGTTTATATAAAAGGAAAAGGACCAAGGAACTACAAGTTACTAGTACGCTATAATGTCCACTAACACCACGTCCAAAGTTATCGCATGAGATGATCGTTTAGTAACTGGTGGCGTAGGTAGACATTATAGCGTAACTTGTAGTTCCTTGGTCCTTTTTCCTTTCTGTGACATATATCACTGAAGTACGAAATAGTTTTTTTACAAGATAACCACAAACTATCATGGTGCAAGCGCCTTTGGCGTTCATTTGTTTGGAAAGGGTTTGTTCCCACACTGGAGAACGCGTTCGCACATTGTCCAAATTAATAATGATAATACAGTCTGTAAATGCAAATTGAGAACTTACACCAACTGTGCCTAGGAACCAGCGGATACTGCCGGCATTATAATTATTCCGTTATCAGTATTATGAAACTATCCGAGCACCAGAGCATTTTGGAGCAGTAATTAAAAAAGGCAAAAACGAACATTTGTGAGATTTGAGCTGCATTTGGAGTTTCGTATTGGACAATATCGGGAAATCCCAGCTTTTTGACAAAATCCAGCTACACTCATGAGGTACTGTAAAATCGGAACGTCTAACGACCAAAATGTATAACGTTTTTTGTAATTTTGGCATGATTGCGTGCAGAAAGTTTAACGATGGCTCCCTGGCCACCAATCTCTATGCGCATCTTTACACAGACATCTAGCGATAACGGGTTTTTTCAAATAACGAAAAATAATTGGTCGTTAAAACGCTAGACTTTGTGACTTGTTAGACTTTCCGGTTTTACAGTACATGTACATGTAGGTGTATCCCTCCTCGTGTTCTATGGATCACTTTGTGCTGAAACGAAAAAACGTTTTAGCACTTGACGCAAAAATGACTATGTAGTCGAGTCAATGTACGAGTACGTGTGTCCACCCCAAAGTTATTGCAAAAATTAGAAACAAACATTTACGAAGAGAAAAATAATTTCGAATACATAGAGAGCCGTTGAGGAGACGCGATGCCAATATCAGACAGTCGAAGAGGAGTTTCTCGTTGTACCTTAGGCTCTGACGATACCGTCTCTGGGCCAGCAGAAATACTGAAGAAGACTCCGCAACTTTGATAAATTTGAACCTGGACGATTATGCGGTGGTAAAATTAAAATCACTTGCATTACGTGCATAGCACAGAACAGCTACTGGACACGTGATTGTATTACAGTGCGTACTTAGACACGTAGTGGACGTACTTGTACATGACGTTTTGCGGGAATGCACAGACAGTCATTGATAATACAAGTACATAATAAAAAAGAATGAAAACAGAATATGGTACACAGTTTCCTCTGAGACAAAAAATGCTATAATACTCGTAAAACGGACACACTTCAGGCTCTTTACGAACATCTTGAAAGTTTTTGGTTTCACAGTTATACTTTCAAGCCTTCTAATCAGGGGAAGTACAGGAAAGTGAAAAGGAACAGAAACAGTGGATTAAGTACAGTAGGGAGGTGGTAAAGAAGAAGATAGCTAAAGTAAAGAGCGAAAATGCGTGACATATACACATAGCCATAATGACACAAAGGTGCAAGTGTGAGAAAACTCAATATGCGTGACATGAAGACAACAACATAACTAGCAAGGTTTTGACGACCTACCTAGAGGGGGGGGGGACAGATGGTACATCGGACTTTCTCCCTCCTTCTCTCTACCTTACTTTTTCCCCATATATTATTCCGTGCTGATAAGCTATGATAAGATATGATAAGCTATGATAAGCTATGATAAGTCTGGTGAGATAGTATGCTGCATCCCATTATTTCGTTATTTTCAGTTTGGAGTGGAATAAAGAAATAAGAATCATAAATAAAGAATCATTGTTGCGGACTAACGTGGTCCCGCAACTGATCATCGATGAGCAGACCACAAAACACCGAGAAACGCCTTTACATCGACATTACCACTCGTTGTCGTGGATGGCGATAATGCAACGAATCAAGTAATTACATTATACATTGCCACTAATTAGTGTGTCAACCATTCTATTTATTATGATAAAGGGACAAAATCCATAAGATACTCCGCTCGTGAACATGTCATGGTACGAACACGCATAGCAATTACTGTATTATAAAATATGTCTCGATGTAGACGTAACAGATATGCACTCGTGAAGTAATTCTAACAGACCAACACATTAATATCACACTCGTGAAATGCACCGCAACAATAATACAAGCGACCTAGCATGTCTTGAGAATAGTGCCCTAAAGCATGTTACAGTTCTGTACACAATTCGTAACTAAAATACATGAAGAGTATCAACGTGGAACATGTGACAATTCTAAAGAATAATTTTCAAGAGCGCGGTCTCCTGTCCAATCATAATAACAGCTGGCATGTACCCCATGGGTGATCTCACCCATGCGGCTAACGAATCTGCTGTTAAAAGCGTTAGAGAAATAAGAACGAGAATGATATACACATTCTCTCCATTCTGATATTGCAGAGAAAACTACCTTGATTTTACCATGAGCGTAGGCATGAAGAATATAGTATTAAATACGGAATATTATTTACCAAAAAGATGTGCTATGCAAACTCCAGCGCGGGAAAAGCCTCTCCTACAAAATCTTCTCTGAAGTCGCTACGAATATTTTGAAATGTACGTGAGCTTATAATGAAGCGGACCATGATGCCCAATGTTATGATGTCACGAAATTATCCCACTATGCACCCTGTCATTATTCTCTTGTCACCAGCACTGGATGTTTATTCGATTGTGAGATAGACTTGCAGTGCATCCTTTTATTGGAAACATTAAATTGTGCTTTCTCTCGCGTTAGATGATAGAGCGAGAAAAGAAACTAACATAGAGCACAGCACTTTGTACTTGGAAAAACTGAGAAAAAGGAAAGATCAAGATAACTCCAATTGTCAAAAAGGCGAAAAGGCAATAATGACCAGAATTAACTAATTGTGGCTTGCTTCAGAGGCCAGAGTGCCCACAATGGCAAAACGACAGCAACCACAACTACAACAGCACACAACAAAACTCACGTCCACTGCCACATACTTCGCGGATCGCAC